AGTGATATCCCTCTCATCTGCAGCCTCTAACAGTGACCCAACCCGTCACTTGCAACCTCTAGCAGTGACATACGCGTCGCCTATAGCACCAAACAGTGATATACCCGTCACTTCCAGCCTCCAGCAGGGATATATCCGTCACCTGAAACCTCCAACAGTGAAATAACCAACATATGCAACCTCCTACAGTGACGCAACCTCCTACAGTGATGCAACCTCCTACAGTGACATATACCAACCTCTAGCACTGACGCCTTCACTTGCAACCACCATAACAAGCACACGCCCTCGACCTCCTCCTCCTCAGAGAGTTCAATACATCTCGCAAGGAACAATTTTATAGTCCTCTCAGGTCTGAAATGGCGATCTCTTCCACATACTCCCTCCCCCCCCTCACACACTTTATCGCCTCCTTATGGCTGCTCTTCATTCCTCTCCTTGTTGCTATTTGTGTGCGTCTTCTATCCCACCTTCCACCCGGCCAGCGCTTGCTGGGTGCAAGCTTCATACTTTATATTGATTACATCGTCCCGGAGAGAACCACAACGACCTCCCCGACGACACGTCGCACCCTGGGAATTTCGCCACCTTCTCGCGATTCTTTTCTCATGACTGGTCCCACGACCACTGAGAATGAGAAGCAAAATTCCAAAGTGAGTTTACCCTTGGCGCATGACATTGATTTTCGAAAAGATGGTAGGTTACTGTATATATATATATATATATATATATATATATATATATATATATATATATATATATATATATATATATATATATATAACCAGATAGGAAGGGAGGGATGAAGATGGAATAGATGAAAGGTTTTCAAAGTGGAGCCTAGTAGGTCCCAAAAAGGAAATAAGGGATTTAAGAAGAAGGACGAGAGAGATGGAAGGGAAGCCAACGTACAAGGATAACTATACGAAAAAATTACTGTCGTGTGTGTGTGTGAGAGAGAGAGAGAGAGAGAGAGAGAGAGAGAGAGAGAGAGAGAGAGAGAGAGAGAGAGAGAGAGAGAGAGAGAGAGAGAGAGAGAGAGAGAGAGAGAGAGAGGGAACATGTTTCAGATGAGCTGAAGTAAGATAACAGCTATTGTTAACGTATCCAGTTTCACTAGATACGTTATTTGACAGTCCTTTGAACCCCCTAGTCTTAGTTTAAAAGAGAGAGAGAGAGAGACAGAAACAAAGACAGATAGCTAGAGAGACAAAGAGATACAATATGACAGAGAAACTAACAGATAAACAGATTGCAAGACACACATAGAGACGAAGAGAGACAGAAAAATCAAAGAGACAGTAATACAGGTAGACTAACACATGCTGACAGACAGACAGGCAGACAGACAAGGGCTGCATCCTGGGAATGTGTGTGTGTTAGAGAGAAATGTGCAGTAAATATTACAGAGAAAAAAATCACTTCATGTAAGGATTTACAACCCTCTCTCTCTCTCTCTCTCTCTCTCTCTCTCTCTCTCTCTCTCTCTCTCTCTCTCTCTCTCTCTCTCTCTCTCTCTCTCTCTCTCTCTCTCTCTCTCTCTCTCTCTCTCCTCTAACCTGTACAACATTATAATATTAAATTCAGATGACATTGTTCTTAATATTCCCAGAAAAAGAAACGAATAACAGAATTACAATTAATTACAATTAATCATCGAGTGCTTTGCCAAACAATTAATGGCTTGATTATACTGCGTCCTTGTCTGTTTATGTTTATTAATTACATATGTAATCCAAGAAATAATTACATATTCGATAACGTGAGAGAGATTAATGTTGAAGATGATAATGTTCATTGTAGTGATAATGATGACTGTGAAGAAGATGGTGACGATGATGTATTGCATTGAACTAATATGTTCACCTACTGCAACATTCTCCCTGCAATGCAAGGCTGAGAGCACTGTGGTTCGGTGTCAGGTATAAGGCCTGTCATCCCCTGGAGGGTAATTTAGGTTAGTTTACTGACCAGCCAGTAAGTAAACTCTAGCTCTGAACGTACTCTCAGATTGAAGTAAACTTTAAGTGTAAACACAGCTAGAAGTAGTGGTATACCTCTCTGTGTATGCCGTGGCAAAATACTAATACTAATAATAATAATATTTCTTAACATATATATTAAAAAAATCAAATTGCCTTTGACATTCTCATATGTGATACGGTAAAATAAACTAATTAATAACATAAGTTGATATAGTTTTATCAATTTCCTAAACTAATCAACAAACGCGGTTAGATCCCAGAGTTAAAATTATTTGAAATATTACACAAAGAAAAATCATAAATAATTATCTGTTATCTTCACTATGAACGAAAAAAACTATTTTTATGCAAAAATGTTTGCATGAAGGACAGACAGACAGACTCATCCCTGGCTCATCCCCCACGTGCAGTGGTATGACAGCTAAACGGATTGAATGATTGATTAGAAATAAATTTCTCGGGATTCGCCAAAAATCGACGTCACATTACGAATGCAATGATTGATGTTAGTTCCCCATGAAGCGTACTGTGCCATTCCTCGCAGTACTGTGCTATTCTGGGTCAGGTCCTTGAAGCATTGTGCTTTTATAATTCTGACCAACGCAAGACTGTTGTTATATTGATTCTGGTCCTTGGGACACCTTGCAATATTGATAGGCCCACGCAACACTGTGCAACACAGTTTTATATATATATATATATATATATATATATATATATATATATATATATATATATATATATAAATATATATATATATATATATATATATATATATATATATATATATATAAATATATATATATATATATATATATATATATATATATATATATATATATATATATATATATATATATATATATATATATGTGTGTATATCACGAAAATAAACACGTGATTAAAAATGTGAAAATGTCAGACCACGGAGGAAAAATGAAACAGGAATTTCCTTAAGTACTTTCGTATATTAATTGACTCCTTCTGAAGATGTATTAATATACGAAAGTACTTAAGGAAATTCCTGTTTCATTTTTCCTCCGTGGTCTGACATTGTCATATATATATATATATATATATATATATATATATATATATATATATATATATATATATATATAACTGGAATGAGTGCTCTTGGAATGTCTCAATTGTATTTTTGCTTCACTCTTATTTGTATGTCTATTGCATTAAGCATTAAGCACCGATGTCTGCAAAATAAAAATAAGAAGAAATCGAAGTATAATACTTTACCTGTAATTTGTTGAAATAGTGGACTGGTAGTTATTGGGAGGCGGGGGCTAGGGGATAGAGGGGAGCCTGGGGATAGTAGGGAGGAATGGGGCGGTAGGGATAGGGGAGGGGGGAACCAAGGGATGTCAGGCGAGCATGCGAGGCCAAAAACATCAACGAGAGAGAGACAGAGATAGACAGAGAGAGAGAGAGAGAACGAGAGAACTAAAGCGACAGTTTATTTACGACGGTGCTGGGCAAGACGGCCAGACTCTTCCCTGTCCATCATACTTGGAGATCTAGGGCAGTGATCGGCGCCCCCTGGCCTTGCACCAGCTGACCTCCCCTGGCCGCCACCCCTCAACCTCCACAGGGACCTCAGGGGGGCCCACGCCTCGCTCCAGCGCTAATAATGGCCACACGATCCTTCCCTCTTGAAGATTGATGACTGTGGGAACTGAAGATGTAAACAATGTAGCCGGTGCTTGCCTCAGTGTTTGCCTCCACACACACAGCAACTGTTGCTTGGGGGAGGAGGTGTTTGCTATTGCAAGGGTTTGGGGCCGGTGCTCTGACCCACACACATCAGCTGGTGCTTGTAGCGGTGTTTTCTATTGCAGGAGGACTTGAGGCTGTGTTTGTTATTGCTTAGGTTTGGAGCAGTGGTTGCACAGCTCAGCAGCTGGTGCTCTGCACGATGCTTGCCAGCTGGTGTTTGGGAGGGTGTTTGCCTCCCAAGATAGCTTGTTTCTTGGCCCACCCTTAGTACATTATGTCACATCTGGCTGTCTACAAATTATCTTTCTTTTTCCGTCTTTTCATCCAATATCTTCTTCGCTTGTCTTCATCCTTTTCTATTTGATCCCTAATCTCAATTTTTTTTCCACGTCATCCCCATCTCTTTCTCTACTATAGTCTATCTGTTTTTCTTCCACCTCATTCACCTTTTATCTGTTCCATCTCTCATGTGCCTCTCTTTCTCGCCCTTGGCTCCTTATAAATTGCCTGAGCGTTTATTTATAATATGTCCGATAATGTCAGGCAAGGTCCGCAGAGAATATTGGCCAGGCTGCGTCTTGTGCGAATATTGGCAGTGTTGTGTCCTGTGTGGGAGGTAGACAGTGGGAGAGAGTGAGAGGTAGAGAGCGGGAGGTTGAGACAGTGAGAGAATGGAAGGTATAAAGATAGAGGAAAGAGAGGAATGAGGTGATGGAGACAGACAATAATATATACAGCAAATTTTTTACATGTCCTAACGGCACCAGCCACAGATTTTCAATGTATGGTCACAGTGTGTCTTCCATGGAAGCAAGGACTGAAAACCCCCACCAACACACACATGCTGACGAAGATCATGTATTCCAGTCAAAAGGTAATATCTGATGGACGAATCCAAACCGAAAAATCCACCTTTAAAAATCAGCCTGTCGCGGGTTTCATATTTTACTGAAAAATATCGGAGATCGTCAGCAGACGGAGAGGCGATATGGCACTTCGTCTGCGCCTCCGGCAAATTTGATGCGGCATCTTCTCGTGGCGACTCTCTGAGGGACATCCCAATATTCTGCTTCCGCAAGTTTGTTTACATTCTTCGGCGTTCACTTCAACGAAATAGGAACGAGCTGTCGCTGGCGTGATGCAGATGCTGACATCGGGAGATACCCCAGAAGACTCCAGGTGCCAGATATACAAGGCAATGGCTGATGTCTTGGAAAAGGTTCCAGGAATCGCGAAGAAAAAGATTCAGTGGTTGATGTGGCAAGTTGCCCTGAAGTCTCTGGCATGGAAGGTGGTGGAGGAGGATCAGGCAGTCTGCCAGTCCATCAGTCTGCCAGTCCATCAGTCTGCCAGTCCATCAGTTTGTCAGTCCATCAGTCAGCCAGCTCATCAGTCAGCCAGTCCATCAGTCAGCCAGTCCATCAGTCTGCCAGTCCATCAGTTTCTCAGTCCATCAGTTTGTTAGTCCATCAGTTTGTCAGTCCATCAGTCAGCCAGTCCATCAGTTTGCAGTCCATCAGTTTGTCAGTCCATCAGTCAGCCAGTCCATCAGTTTGCAGTCCATCAGTTTGCAGTCCATCAGTTTGTCAGTCCATCAGTTTGCAGTCCATCAGTTTGTCAGTCCATCAGTCAGCCAGTCCATCAGTTTGTCAGTCCATCAGTTTGTCAGTCCATCAGTTTGTCAGTCCATCAGTCAGCCAGTCCATCAGTTTGTCAGTTCATCAGTCAGCCAGTCCATCAGTCAGCCAGTCCATCACTCAGCCAATCCGTCAGTCTGCCAGTCCATCAGTCTGCCAGTCCATCAGTCAGCCAGTACCTCAGTCAGCCAGTCCATCACTCAGCCAGTCCATCACTCAGCCAGTCCATCAGTCTGCCAGTCCATCAGTCAGCCAGTCCATCAGTCAGCCAGTCCATCAGTCTGCCAGTCCAACAGTCAACCAGTCCATCAGTCTGCCAGTCCATCAGTCAGCCAGTCCATCAATCAGCCAGTCCATCAGTCTGCCACTCCAACAGTCAGCCAGTCCATCAATCTGCCAGTCCATCAGTCAGCGAGTCCATCAGTCTGCCACTCCAACAGTCAGCCACTCCAACAGTCAGCCAGTCCATCAGTGTGCCAGTCCATCAGTCTGCCAGTCGAACAATCAGCCAGTCCATCAGTCAGCCAGTCCATCAGTCAGCGAGTCCATCAGTCTGCCACTCCAACAGTCAGCCACTCCAACAGTCAGCCAGTCCATCAGTCAGCCAGTCCATCTGTCTGCCAGTCCGCCAGTCAGCCAGTCCATCAGTCAGCCAGTCCATCAGTCTACCAGTCCATCAGTCAGCCAGTCCATCAGTCAGCGAGTCCATCAATCTGTCAGTCCAACAATCAGCCAGTCCATCAGTCAGCCAGTCCATCAGTCAGCCAGTCCATCAGTCGGCCAGTCCATCAGTCTGCCAGTCCGCCAGTATATCGATCAGTATTACCTACCAACACAGTTCTTGGGAGACGGGTACAGCTCCATAACACACTACAACCTTGTTGTATCATAAATATATCGGATCTATTATAACACAGTTGCCCTCACAGCGCTGGATGAGGAACAGCCTCGTGCCTGGCTTATGGCCAGAATTATATTATTCAATGTCGAGACGAGCGCCTGCGTGGCAGCCAACACTGATGCCAACTTTCCCGCCGCCAAAATCCTTGTCAACATGTAGTGCGCATGCGTGTTAGTGAACAATGTTGCCAACTGTCTCTCTGTGACAATCTCTCTGGAGACAAGGTATCCTCTGACATTCTTTTTTTTATTGTTCATCCTGCACAATTTGCAGAGTTGAAGTCGAGAAACCATGCAGGATTTTGTTATTAACATTACACTTTAAGAGGAGTTTTATTAACCACGTATAATCAACTACCATTTGCTCTGTCCCATCATTAATAAATGTTTACATATATCCAGGTTGAGGAAACTAGGTATAACTAACTTTTTAACTGACAAACACATTCAGAGCCACATATGTGCGCTCTAGAACTGTGTCCATGGTAGGCCATAAGCGTTTTAACTCCTTACACTCAGCCTTTACAAGTTATCAGCACTGGCGTGCTTCGAATAGCCAATGAGAAGAGCGAAGGAAGCGTTATAACTCTAAGAGCTCTTGTGTTTCCTGTTCCCACTTTTTTAATATCACGAGGAATTGTCGAACTATTCCTTGTGTGTTTTGTGAGAAAATGGGAGAATCTAAGAATCATAACATAAATGAACACATTCGTATATTATATATATATATATATATATATATATATATATATATATATATATATATATATATATATATATATATATATATATATATATATATATATATATACACTTTCCCTGAGCAGAAAGTGCATTGCAAATATCATACTTAAATGAACTTGTAAGAATTTTAATTAACATCGATTTTTAAGCTGGGATTGGCGCAGGTGGGAGAGCAAGGTACAATAGACATTAAATATCTGACATGACATGATATGAATAAAAAATAAGTTACCTGGCCAGTGGTGTCTCGATCTGGCTGAGATGACGTTATGTCGTAAAGCAATACCACCAGAATCATACCTTCCAAAGCTTACACCTCATCACGTAGGTTAAGCTGGTTTACCACAACCACGCTCCTGATAACAGCATATATTTCCCTGTGATGTAACAGCTTTAATAAGCAGCTGCCGAAAATAGCAACTAATTAGCCAGCATTCCTGATAACATAACGGAGGCCGCAGCTTCCTCTCTTCGAAAATGGGTGCAGCTGGCCGATGTGGTGTACAATATTGGTACACAGCTGGATGTACACAAGTGTGGTACTCATTGACTGGTTTTGACAACACGGTCTACACGGCTTGGTTTACAATGAATAATTACCTGGAAGTGTTCTACTAACATTATAATACACTGACCAAGACGTTGTCCCTTAAGATCTATTCGCTGCTGTATGATCACGTCACGATACTAAGAGTCCTGTCAATACTGGAGCTCTGCCGGAATTGGATACCAGGGGCCATATTCACGAAAGCACTTACGCAAGCACTTACGAACGTGTACATCTTTCCTCAATCTTTGACGGCTTTGGTTACATTTATTAAACAGTTTACAAGCATGAATCTTCCCATTCAACTGTTGTTATTGTTATAAACAGCCTCCTGGTGCTTCCGAGCTCATTAACTGTTTAATAATTGGAAACTAAGCCGTCAAAGATTGACAAAAGATGTACAGGTTCGTAAGTGTTTGCGTAAGTGCTTTCGTGAATCTGGCCCCTGAATCTTGGTAATATGTTTATCCACTGAAGTGTTCTTAACATCCTTTTAATCCACACAAAATTTGCCAGTCCTAGTTAAGTGAATGCACGAAATATACAACAAACTCTCTGATAGTATAGTTTAGTATAGCTACACTAATATGGACGTACCAAATTACGTTAAAAATAAATTAACTATGTTAGGTTGATAGCTTTAGTGTCTCCTCGGCACATATACTCGCGTTTTGGGGATAAATCTCTCTAGATAATGATCATTAACCTGATAGACTCAGTAAAGACCAGTTCTATGCTTTGTCTATACTTCCTCTACTGACACTAAACGTGGCTATAGTGTTGTATTAAGCAAAATAATTGTACCGTTCATATACATTGTGTTCGGAGCGAGCACGACTCACAAACTTGTAAATTCAAGTCTCTGGGATCAGTACCCTGCAAGGCTCATATATTTTAGCCTCCAGTAATACAGTTTTATGAACGAGGCTCCAGTAAAATATTGTCGGTCAATACAGACTGTAGAAGTGCCAAGTGTTGCCAACCCATTCTGGTCTCTGAGGGAATCACCATCAGACCCAGGGGAAAATAGGACGGTTATCTTCCCTATTTAACTACACCCCACTGATGGGCACTACGATAAACTAGCTTAAACAGAACTAAACGCTAGCATTTCCTCGTCATACAGATTTAAACAGAAGATGTGTAAGTCTGTCATGATCACCACTCCTCCTATCATAATAAGTAATCCGATTTGCATATGAATGATTTTACCAAGTGATATTATGTTGGTCTATGAAGCACGAGAAGGTTATTAAGACCACCGCGAGAGCTTACTCAGCATCCCAGCAAGTCTGCCTTTGCTCTGAACAAAGTAAAAACAACTTTCTCAGTGCACATACAGTGAGTAACGGTGTGTACATTTCTCTGAACATAATATATATATATATATATATATATATATATATATATATATATATATATATATATATATATATATATATATATATATATAAACCATGTCTCGGAAATTCTATTTTACTACTGATTTTGCTGGAAGATTTAGCGTGTGAATATTGAAAACAATATGTAACTGAGATTTAATATATTTAAATTATATGACTTTGGAGCTAAATCCAATGAGATTAACTTCAAGCGAGGTCACATTAGACGAGAGGGTGTATTAAATTTGTACACCATTCAAGCGGTTCCGCAATATTATGAGTTGAAATGCAAAATGTTGTAATTCGTGTTTAAAACAAAATTTCAATGTTACATTGAAAAATTCAAATTACGTCGAATGTAGCACGCATACAAGGTGTGTGTGTGTGGGGGGGGGGGAGGTGAGTACTTACTTAGTTGTACTCACCTAGTTGTGCTTGCGGGGGTTGAGCTCTGCTCTTTGGTACCGCCTCTCAACTTTCAATCTACTGGTGAACAGATTCCTGAGCTTCTCAAGCTCCATCAAATCTACATTTGAAACTGTGTATGGAGTCAGCCTCCACCACATCACTTCCTAATGCATTCCATTTACTAACAACTCTGACACTGAAATAGTTCTTTCTAACTCACCCTGTGGCTTATTTGGGTACTCAGCTTCCACCTTCCATTCAGGCTCTTCTGTCTTTCAGCAACGTGAGGTGCAGTTCCCACAGCCTTTCCTCGTAACTCATGCCTCTTAGTTCTGGGACTAGCCTAGTAGCATACCTTTGAACGTTTTCCAGCTTCGTCTTGTGCTTGACAAGGTACGGGCTCCATGCTGGGGCCGCATACACCAGGATTGGTCTTACATATGTGGAATACAAGGTTCTGAAAGATTCCTTACACAGGTTTCTGAGGGTGATGTTAGCCAGCCTCGCATACGCCCCAGATGTTATTCTTAAGATGTGGGCTTCAGGAGACAGGGTTGGCGTGCTATCAGCTCCTAGATCTTTCTCTCTGTCCGTTTCGTAAATAAATTCATCTCCCATTCTGTGTCCAGTGTCTGGCCTCCTATTTCCTCCCCCTAGTTCCATTACCTTACATTTACTTGGGTTGAACTTTAGTAGCCATTTGTTTGATCATTCCTTCAGTTTGTTTAGGTCATCTTGTAGCCTCATACTATCTTCCTCTGTCTATATCCTCCTCATATTCTATGAGGAATAGAATATGAGGTCTATTCCTCCATTTAGTCTATTCCCTCCTCATAGTCTATTCCCTCTGGGAGATCATTTACATATATCAGGAATAGTATAGGTCTAGCAACAGATCCCTGAGGGACTCCACTTGTGACGCCTCGCCACTCAGAGACCTCATCTTTCACAGTGACTCTCTGTCTTCTGTTGCTTAGGTACTCCGTTATCCAGCTGAGTACCTTCCCTTTCACTCCTGCCTGCATTTCCAGTTTGTGCACTAGTCTCTTATGTCGTACTGTGTCAAAGGCTTTCTGGCAGTCCAAAAATATGCAGTCTGGCCAGCTGCATATTGTGTGTGTGTGTGTGTGTGTGTGTGTGTGTGTGTGTGTGTGTGTGTGTGTGTGTGTGTTTTTCTGTTTGGTTCACCCATCAATTAAGGCAGAGGAGACTTCGATGGGATGACATACGTCGAAAGTAGCAACGGGAAGACAAGATACATCAGACGGACATGAGAACGGACGACAACATCAGTTTAGATTCACCTCGACACCATCCCCTCCCTCTCTCCACCTACCCCCTTCCTTCTCCCCTCCCCCCCTCCATCCTTATCTCTCCCCCCACCCTATCCCTCCCCGCTACAAACTTCCCACTTTCTCTTCCCACATCCACTATCCCCAATCCCCACCATGCCCCCCAATGCCCACTTCCCCCTCTCTCCTCTCCCCCCATCTTCTCCCCCCTACACCCCCCTCCAACCTTCCCCCCCCACCACCCCAGCACCACCAGCCTTCTCTTACCTCCAGTCAAAGAGAACACAAACATATATTTTCCGATACAAAAACAAACTCATCATAAGTATTGGTGGACGGTCTGAGAGGCTCTCCGCTCCTTCAGGAACATCAAAACAAAGATACAGATCACAGAACAAACATGAAGGTCCCATGGGAGCAAATATATTTGACTGTAAAAAGAATAAACATTTGTAGCGTTGTATATTTCATATTCCCCCCCCCCCCCAAGAGTATAATGCTATTTTTTTCCCCTCTCTCGGGGCAGTGTGGGGGTGGGGGTAGGGGGGGGGGAGGTTGGGGTTATTGAAATGGAAATTCAGAGGTATATATATAGAGGGACTCGCTAGGATTTACGATG